ATAGAAATGTATTTCAGTTATACTAACGGACTAGTTCCTTTAATTACACGACTGTGTAATGTATATCGTTTTGACACCACTTTGTTACGATCGTACTATATTCCCATTTCTCATGTCCATCTACTTTATTTATGTTGTACTTATTCCTAGCAGAAATTGACTCATACCAATGTAAGCATAACACATGTTTGTTTATTACTATAATCAGTAGCATAAAGATTTAGAAATACATTTTGTTTCTTATTGGCAATATATTACTTTGTTACTTCGCTTCTTTCAGTTTATTCATTCTCTTTCACATCTCCCAATCTTTTCTTTGTTAACCTCCTGTCTTTTATATTCCTTTCTCAAACACACTCCGAAAAGTCTCTTTTTTGCTGATCTTACACACCTGTTTCCGCCCATATATCGGACTACTACCTCTCATAATCATTGGAGATCCCGTAATCTCAACACCAGCTGAACAAAAAAAGCAGACGCTCATTCTAATAATTTTCTAATGACTTAGAGTGCTATAATACCCTAATTCCTTATAGATTTAACAATAGCCATCGCTTTCTCACTTTGCTCAACTCCAATCAGTGTTACTGTATATATATATATATATACAGCTATGCTTCTAAGTTCTAAGTATGTCATTACGATAAGGGATAATTTATTGTAAGGTGAAACAACGTATTTGAAACGTGGCTGGGTGCATTATAATATCTCAGACGTTGCGACTATTGGAATACATTACGATTATCAGTTTCACTTTAGATTAGTATCCCGTTATTAAGATTTCCATTGGAGTTGGAACGATAAATTAGATTATATAAATTCTACTTTACAACAACCGGTAATAATCGTCTAACTAAGAAGCACTAGTTGGTTTAGTAAAACGCCAATATTTTTCTTTTGACATTTTTTTCGACTAAGTATTGAATTAGGCTAAATACATACCACGTCAAGGTCAACTGGTTTGTAAGTATGTCATAAAAAATATGTACTTAATGTACACTGCTTTTCGCATACAGGAGCCTTGTATAAACACAACACTATTTCGCGAGTGGTTTAAAATCCTAGCACTGTTTGTTGCTATGGCGATACCCGCACGAATGTCTGGAAAAGTAGAACGTGATTGGCTGGAATATTTGGGATTCGAAGAGTTCAGGGTTTTGATAAGGCTCATGCCATAAGTGAGAAACACAGTCGTCTATGCTCGTGCAGACTTCGAGTTCTCTGTGCAAATTTTCCAGAGCCTGATATTCAAACGCAAGATTAGTAACCCGGCTTTAAAATAAATTATTTTTTTCATTTTGACTTTACAAGGACAACATTTGTAATACTACAAGACTTTTATCTCAAAGGTTTATAACACGGTATATGAAGCTATAAATTGAGTTCAAACCGTTCGACAAATAGAGAGAGAGAGAGGGAAAAACATACACGCAAACTAAGGTTATAAAACTAACTAAAAAAATTTCGGCTCCATTTTAAGTTAGTTATCTAAGAGATGAGCCAACTGATATTTAGTTTATATTTATCTCTCACACCTTTCGAGCATAGTCCTTGTTCTGAAAATGTAGAAGATAAAGAAAATGATTTGAGGTAAGCAAATTATCTTTATTGTTGTTGTTCGTTGTGTATTGCTTCAGTTGTTTAAAGCAGGATGTACCGTTTTATTTTTTTGTAGTCCATTAGCACTTCGCTAGGATAAAAAGATTGATTTCTTTATTTCTCTCTTTATATTTTTTATATAACTACATATGTAAACCATGAATCTCAAATACAACATAAAGAATAAAGATTCCGTCAGTTAATTATATCAGTTTCAATATAAAAATGTTTTCTGTCATAATAATTATTTTGAAAAATATTGGACATGTGTTTGACTCAAGTATATTTCGTAATTTGATTCTTGGCAACTAGGCGTTTTAAACTCACTCGATTTATTAAAAGTTTTTTCTGATATGTGCATCTATAAGGTTTGTTAAAGATGTGTTTTACTAAACCTTGCGAGGTGACATGTCAATGAAACTTCTTTAATATATGTGACATAGATCTTGTTAAGCATTAGTGTATTACTCAGTATATCAGGGAACATTCCTGAATTCCTGAACAGGTGTGTAGATGGGGCATGCTGAATTTATATTTAAGTAAAATTCACCATATAGATGGGTGAGTGAAGCTTCCTGTATGGAGAAGTATGTAGTGTTTGTTGTATTTTGTAAAGGTTAAAAACCTGCTGTATATTGCATGTTAGTGAAGCTTGTTGTATTGGGTGCCATTGAAGGTCATGAGATATATATATATGCCAGCAAAAGGTTACGAAATATGTAAGTCAGTGAAGATAGTTAAATGTGTACTTAAATAAAGCTTACTGTGTAAATGTTTCGATAAAGCTTGTTTATACGCGTAAGTGAAATTTGTTAAGTATGTGCTGCACTAAATATTCTATATTAAATGTTTCAGTAAAATTTGTTGTACGTCTCAGTAAAGCTTGTTGTATTATGTGTTTTAGTAAATCTTTCTCTATTAGATGTTTCAGTAAAACTTGCTGAATAGCTTGTGTGAGTAAAACCTACATCACTACAAACAATTCCCTTCAGAGTTTTTTAGTATAACATTGAACATTCAGAAATAAATATAAAATGTATATATATATATATACATAATTAAGTAACATCAAACTACAAACTTCGCGCTATTTGAACTGGTTATTAAACTGGCTTCTTTATGCACGCAATCAGTTCATTAGAAGGTAGCCGACAAAAAGAAATATAAGATGTTCGTAAATGGCCTCATTTCCTGATTATTCTTTAAGAAACGATAGCACTAAAGCAATATCTTATTTAGTTTCAAAATATACGTTACAACGTATACTACTTTAATACCAAGTTAAAGAAAAACGTTGCGGCTTTCAAACAAGATCAAATACTGATATCGCTATTATTTGATCACTTGTTACAACCAACTTATTAAGAGGTTGGGTAGCCAAATAACTGTCCTTTTAAATGTCTGTATAACGTTATAGTTTAGCCTTTATTTATAATCATTGACAAGTTGTAGTGAAAATGATATGTGCTGTGGTTTTATATATTTTATTTTATTTTGTAAATAATCACCACTCACTACTTTAGTTACATGTGTCGTCATAATTACTGGTTCTAAGAAAACCGAACGGCCAACAGAGCCTTGAGATTAGTTGGACCGATGGCAACTTTCAATGGTGCCATAAAATCTATAACACCTGCATGAACCTAGAATAAATACAAGAGATGTGACTCGTAGTTACTTGCAGAAAAAGTGTGCATTCGTGAACTTACATCAAGTTACATATGTTATTATAATGTAGTATAACCTATAATGTATAACCTAGTAATGGTAAAGCAAAAGAAATAGGATCTTTTTATCTTTGTATTAACTATAATGTTTGTAATCTTATTGAATTTGAAGTGTAGCTGCTTGCATTGAGGATAGCTGTATCATAGCTGTAAGTAGTTCAATGGGTAACAATTAACAATTGTCCAGACTTCTGACTCATAATGATAGCTGAATCAGCAATAATCAACCTTTCTTCATAACTCATTTCTGTAAGTAGTTCAATGGGTAACAATTCACAATTGTTCAGACTTCTGACTCATAATGATATTTGAATCAGCAATAATCAGTCTTTCTTCATAACTCATTTCTGTAAGTAGTTCAATGGGTAACAATTAACAATTGTTCAGACTTCTGACTCATAATGATAGCTGAATTAGCAATAATCAACCTTTCTTCATAACTCATTTCTGTAAGTAGTTCAATGGGTAACAATTAACTATTGTTCAAACTTCTGACTCATAATGATAGCTGAATCAGCAATAACAACCTTTCTTCATAACTCATTTCTGTAAGTAGTTCAATGGGTAACAATTAACTATTGTTCAAACTTCTGACTCATACTTCTATTAGTGATCCTGAGCTTTATTTGTAATGTTTATTCCTGATAAAAGTTCCATCGGTGCGAATTATTTTATCAGTAAACTATTTTTTACTTCTAAAGCTCTGTTCATTTTATACCCTCGTACAAAACATCATACTTGGCATTCAATAATTTCATGTTTGACTTGTATTATTAACTTACTAATTGACAATCACATTGTTTCATCGTATTATCAGCTCACTGACTAACAGTTGTCATTGTTTTATTGTCAATACCAAAAGTCGCTTAATTAAGGTCGGTTATCTAAAATTTATGGTTTTGATTCCGTTTTAGGAGTCTGGCAAAATAAGAGAATAAAGTTTTGTTTACGGTTTTTTTTATTCTTCGTTAAAATATACTTTTAAGAAGTTGGACTGATTCCAAACTTTGCATTGCAAGAGGAAGGTATTTGGGAAATGAAACTGTCATCCCTCAGAGCCCCATTTCAGACAACAGTGTAGTGTTTATGTGTTAAAGTTTTATATGTGAATTGCCTCTTTTGTTTGTAGACACTTACAGTACCGATAACATCACCATGTTGAGTTTAATTACTTGTTCCTGATACACACGTTTTGAAAGAGTCGCCAGATCTGGTGTTTCTTCCTAGATCAGTTGATCGTTTTATCCTACTTTATTACAACATTTGCTTCAAAGTGTCTTTTGTACTAGAGGTACTTGGTGGGTATCACATGTTGTGGAATAGATTTAACCCACTTAGGTTTAACCTTGCAGTCATTGAGGCGCCCCACATGACCATCAGATTTAACGCACTTAGGTTTAACCTTGCAGTCATTGAGACGCCCCGCATGACCATCAGAGTCGTGCCTAAACTCATACACGAATAATCTAAAAAAGTCACTTAACTGTTTTAATTAGATTAAATACGCAACACTGCCTTTACATTTTATAAACTTTATGCATTCAAATATAAAATGCCACAAAAAATGTTTCGTACGCAAATCACAAGTTTTCCTCCTAGTAGTCCATTAAAAACATAATCAGGTTTTGTTCACAGTTTGAGCAACTGATAATAACTCCATGAATGACAGTCAATTTTTATTCTTAATTTTAATCCTAAAAATAGTTCAATGAATGATAATAATTTTTTTTTCGTTGTTTTCACTTGAAATATCTTTAGAGATAATACTATTTTTTATAGTTTTGACTCTTAAAAAGTAATAACTGACTAGTAAAAAGCTTTATTAATTCTATTCATTATTTCAACTTTACATTGTAGTTCAATTTTATGAATGCTGAATAGCTTTCTTTCATGGTTAATAAGCTAATAAATAATAATCAATTAATGAAAATCATCATTTGTTTATAGTTTTAAGTTATGGCATTAACTTAATGAGGGTTAAGTGTAATCCATTTATGTTTATAACCTTGAGTGCTAATAATAGTTAGATTGATAACTATCAGCTTTTGTTCATAATTTTGACTCCCTAATACAACTCTGTTGCTTACAATAAAGTATTGATAACCACTAACAATAAGGTGGCGATAACTACTAAAATTAGAATGCTGATAGTTGCTATTACTTAGGTTTTATTCATAGATTTCACTTCCAAAAATAATCGGTTTTTTCTTCACATTTAAGATTCCATAAAAACAGATCAACGAAATAATATATTAAACTCCACACACTCAATCTCGAATTCATAAGCTGAATTCATAAGTGAAGTTTTGATTGCTTTGATAGAGAATTCAGAAAACAAAACCACTTCTTAGTGCATATAAGTCTGTAACGGCGTAACTAGATAATCAAATATTAATACTTGACTACCATAAGAACCGAAAACACATAATCTTTATAGTGTAAAACAGTCTGTTAAAAGCTGCATGTATGTTTTAAGGTGGCAAAATAATATCAATAACTTTTTTTTTTTATTTGCACAAAGCTACTAGAGGCTATCTGTGCTTGCCGTCCCTAATTTTGAATTGAATGACTACAGGAAAGGCACCTAGTGAGCATACTACCCAACGTCACCTTTTGGGATATTCTAATCAAATTGTGGGATAGACTGTCATATCATAACCTTCTCCATAGGTGAAAGGGAGAGCATGTTCGGCGGTGTGTTTCGATCCAGCGGGTTTCGATATATATATATATATATATATGTAAACAACTAATTAGAAAGTTGATTATGAAAAATAAAAATAAAACATAGAAGACTATTTTTTGTAAATGTGGAAAAGGTAAAAATAATTTAAAACGCCAATGGCTCATAAAAAACTAAAAACATGGTTGGTCAGTCTGGTCAATGTCATTGCTACGAATAACAAAGTCCAATATTGAAAGTACACCATGTGCTAATATTGTCTAAAATGGTGCCGTAGAAACGGTACGAAAGTAAAAGGTGAAAATATTTGACGTGTGTATAACACTGTTCACATATTTGCGGGTCTTTCTTCTGTAATAACAAAAAACGATATGCAATAAGACTGTGGCCAGTTTAACACCTAGTGAGACAACTTACTCCATCCAAATACTATACAAACTATACATCAGTTTGCGGTATTAAGTTTTATCAGATCAATTTTTTTATGTTGTTGCCTGCCCGAAATTGCCTGCCAACTGATTAAAGCTTTGCCTTGTTGATTGTCTTGAAATCAAAATAAAGGATGTTGTTGTCGTTTGTAC